GTAATTTCAAAAAACAGTTCTTTATAAACGAATTACATTCATTTGTATTCAGAAACATCGCACATCTATCATTACTGAAAGTTTCAATTCTACAGCCGTAATTGCCCGTTCGGTCAACCTGAAAAATGTAACAAGGCGGGATTTACAACTGACACAATTGCCTGTATAGAGCACGTAAGCTTCCAACCACAACTGCAAATCCAGGAGCATTGATGAATGACACCGCTATACAATTAATACTGCCTGAATATTAAGATGTTTACTGAAATAACACATTTGAAAGAGAATTTAAATAAAATTATTATAAAGACATTAAACAAATCCGGTACGCGTGCGACATCTTTTAGTATCTAGTGTATTACAAAAATGTGTTTTTAATATTGCATGTTGCTTTAAATAAGATAGGACTCCGTAAGTTAGTTCTGTAAGGACCCAGTTTCTCCAAATAGCAACTACGAAACAGAGGGCGCTAAAATAAATTGTAGACAAATTTTATTTGCTTGCTAGGAACTCTAACGATCTACAGATAATAAGACCTAATATCTAAAGATACGGATAAATACACATTGACAGTTTAAAATGCGATATATATTAGTTATTAACTTATTTGAAAACTATTTTAACTACTGCCAGACGTTTCGGATGCTTTGCAGCAGCCGTGGTCACGGGGATACAGTTCATGGGTTTATAATTTTCAAATAAGTTTAACTAACATATATCGCGTTTTAAACCGTTAAAGTGTTTTATTTAAAGTATACTCATTACACAAGCCAAGTAACAGCTAGGAACAAAAGTATACAACAAAATAATTATTATGAGGAAGTTGTTTAGATTACATGCCAGTCATACTTTTATCTATATTGGAAGCAATTTTCTTTATTCTGATAATGATCGCGAAGGAACTTATTGTGTGCTACATGTGAACTGGCGTTTTGCCATATATCAAGATACGAGTATCTTTGTATAGGCAAGGCATGCTCGCTACAAATCATTTGTAATTTATTTTTCTTAATAAAAAGTAAATAAACTGGTTTGACAGAATAGTATTTTGTCCGATCCGATTTTCACATTCACATCGATGTCTTTGTGTGTCCAAAGACAAAAAGTGTGAAATTTGATTTTTCTAGAAGTATTGCTTTTTTTTTACTTCCCCACAAACTATACTGTTTCCCCAAAATTCGAACTCTAACTATTTGATATATTAGAGAAACAGAACATTTCTCAAGTAGAATATGCTAATTCAGTATGTAGTTTACGCGAGTAGTACACATTTAAACAAATCACTTTAACGGTTTAAAACGCGGTATATTCTAGTTAAACTTGTTGAAAATTATTTTTAACTACGGCCCGACATTTCGGATGCTTTGCAGCAGTCACGGGCATAATTTTCAAATAAATATCGTGCTTTATACCGTTAAAGTGAATTAAAATGTAAAATATGCTTCCTTTATAATTCTTATAACACCTGGTTAAAATTTCCGACTTCTGTTGACTAAAAATACAAAGAATAAACATTTATTATTATAAGTTCAATTAAAATTTAATTCAAAGCTTGTCTTGACATAAATTGGACTTTGGAAAAGTTTCAGATTTCGAGAAAATAAAAAGTTTTTGTTTACGATTGTTCGTTCTCTTTCCTACAAAATATATAAGCTGAAATTCTCAAAACAGTCCCAAATGTACTAACTTGGAAAATAATGTCCTAAGAACTGTCTATAGTTTACGTGAGTGTTACTCATTTTAACGGTTTAAAACGCGAAATATATTAGTTACAAATACTCATGACAAGTGTGGCATAGTAGGTACATTGAATTCCTCCATCTGCATACTAAAACAACGCCCTCGCCTCATATTGTACCCGAATAGGTTTGCGTGACAACAAACGTGTCGTCTTATACTTGGCATAATCCCAAATTGCTGTGAAAAGGTAACCAGTCATAACTCTTTATTTGCATTTTATTTCGCGGGATAAGCACATTTGTCGGGAACGATGCTAATGTTAAAATATGAAGTTAGATATTCATTTGATTTGTACATAAAGTTCATGTGCAAATATATATATTTGCACATGTCTGTTTGATCATCTGTTTATACAAATGAAGTACCCAAATTTATTACAATAAGGTATATACTTTTAAATAAAACACTGTGACCTGTGTTTTAAACCGTTAAAGTGTATTATTTAAATTTCACCATCAAGGTGAATCTACGCTGGACTGTCCTTTGGCCTGACGTACCGAAGTACGTCAGGACGTGTCCGGATGTCGAAAACCTGGACGACCTCCTACCAGGTGGACCGACGACCTGAACAAGGTAGGAAAACGCTGGATTCAAGTGGGGAACGACCGGTCGTGCTGGAAGTCTTTGGGAGAGGCCTATGTCCAGCAGTGAACACCGGACGGCTGAAACCAAAATTGACTGTTCTCAATCATAAAAATCTCTAGATTTATTACCGCATAATCTCCAGATAGTATAACTAGAACGAAACAAATGAGCGAGTAAAATTATATTTCACGCAAGATAAATCACAAACACTTCTCACGGTGGCAGTTTTGCGTTAATTGGTGTCTAGATGACAGATTAAGGGCTGAATGGCTGTGACGTAATTGACAGTCCAATCTGAGGGGGTTTAGCTGATGGATTCGAGCTAGCCAGGAACTTGCCACGGGCTTGATTAACAACAAACAAACTCTAATTACTATTTAATGAAGCGACTGAGTAAATTGTCGTATTTCATATTCATATGCAAATAAGATGAATCTATATTATTTATGATTATTTCAGTTCGGTTGTTTGTTTGAATGTGCCAATCGTAGGAACTACTGGTTCTAATTCCGTTTGGTGGAACATTCATCGATGAAGGCTTCAGACTATAATCAATACGAACGAAGTAACAGAGGTGAATGTGGAAAAAGTTCGGGAAAGGTGCCCGCGACTTCGTCCGCGTGGAATAGTGACTTGGGGTAGAATTTTCAATTATTCAGGCTGTTTATTAATTTTTGTAATTGCGTATTTATCGCAGCCAATCCATGTTGTAAGTGCAACTTTGCCGCAACACTCTCACCTCACATCACTCCTACTATAACTCTCACTCTCATTACTACACTCACTCCCACTCCCACTCCTATTCCCAAAAAGTCAAAGAACAAAGTTTCATTGTTCTAGCTTCAAAAACCAAGAAATTTTCATACAAACTTTCATCCCCCATCAACCCTTTTTTGGCATTAAAATATAGATGTTACCTATTATATTCGTATCCCGTCGTACGCGTCCCGACGTTTGGGTCGTTCTTGCAAGTTAATCTTAAAAGATAGACATATAGCGTCGCGGACTTATTTTTAGATCATTTAAAGGGGAATCATTCCTTTCTCGATAGATGCTCTAACCAACACAAAAAAAAATTCAGTTGGAACCCGTAGTTCTTGAGATTAGCGCGTTCAAACAAACAAACAAACTCTTCAGCTTTATATATTATTAGTATAGATATAGATTGCGTCACAAGCACAAATATATTCAGCACGGCTAAAATACTGACTCGCCCGTCGGGAACGTGGTGGGTTTAAGCTCAAGACATATAGAAATCTATTTTTTAGCTTTAAAATTTTTAACGCGATTATGCTTGAAACCCCAGTTTCTAAAAATATCAACTACTACGAATCAGATGGCGCTAACGTAGCATATATACTTTGATATAAGGGACACCATACATCTTAAGTTACCCGTGACCGCAACCGCAGAATGCTGAAAAGCATCTGAAGTATCTGGCCTCAGTTAAAACAAAATTAAAAATAAGTCTTAATGTAGGTATTGAAATTTTGTACTATTCGCGTTAACTAGAGACCGTTTTTAACACGCCAGCCTTGAAAATCTGGATATAAAATGTAAGGTTTTTGAATATTCCGTAGAACTATCGTCAACAGACGACAACGTCTAGAAGTGCAAATAAGCGCTTCAGTTTCAGTCTATTGATTTCCGAATACCAACACAAAACAAAGCCAGTACAAAGCCAAATGCTAACAGCGCATTTTGTAAAGATTTAATATGACTAGCTTGTTCCTTAATCATTATTAGAAAACCCTCCTAAAAAAAAGGTTATCTGCGTCCAGTGTTATATGAACGGATGAAACTAATCAATTATGACTAAATTTTATTATTAACCTTTCCCCTCTTCACAGTCGGTTTGACAATTCTTCGCACCGAGTATTGTGTTTCCAGTTTGTCCAGTGTGAATTTCTTGTATCTAGATAGTTCTGATTCGGTGCAAATACAATATCCTGCAAGTGTTTGTGGACATCGAATGTGTTTGACAGTTGTCTTCTATAGCATTGTCCTAGATAATATCGGTGTACAGAACTTGATACGAGATGTAATATCGAAAGATCGCTTTATTGAGATAATATTTTTTTTTTAATTTCACTTACTCCTTGGTCGGTAGGTAGGTCTAATCGTAACAATGTGTTGCTAAAAATCAATGGGTCGTGGGTTATATCCCCGACACAGAAGCGATATGCGGTTCGAGTCCCGCCCGAGTTAAAATATAGTTTTATTTTTAAAACTTTTATATGGTTCACATGTCATTGCCTAAAATGGCATTATATAAATAAAAAATAAATTTTATTCCGTTCCGTGCTGTTGCTCTAACCAATTGAGCTACCGTGTCTTATACGTCATCGTCATTTTTTTTCAACCTATTGATATATGCAACTCTCGCGCAATGTAATTTCAACTTTAACACTTGCTGTGGATCAAGATTCTAGTCCGGCCCGTGTCGTAAATGGTTTTAAACCAAAAATGTTGTTTTTAGGTTTAATTTAGTGTTAGGTCGGAAAAACGATTTTAAACTCTTAAATATTCATGTATTATCCAAAATTAGGCTTAACCGACAGAATGCGCGCCAACGTTCGTATTTGACAGTTCCTGAGCTAGTGTCGGGACGCGCGCGGTAATCGCACGTCGCACTAGTGTTGTGTCGTCCCCGCTAAATCGGAGGATTATTCATATCAGTTCGGCCATCCTGTGTAGTCCTTCGCCCTCGAAGGATGAAGTAGCGCTCCCGCTAAACCGCCGCTGCAAGTGCAGCCACGGAGACTCGGCTCAGCCACCATCTGGAAATAGCCTCGTAGGCAGTAAATAGCCCCGTAGGCAGGTAATAGCCCCGTAGGCAGTAATAGCCCCGTAGGCAGTAAATAGCCCCGTAGGCAGGTAATAGCCCCGTAGGCAGTAATAGCCCCGTAGGCAGTAATAGCCCCGTAGGCAGGTAAAAGACCCGTAGGCAGTAATAGCCCCGTAGGCAGTAAATAGCCCCGTAGGCAGTAATAGCCCCGTAGGCAGTAAATAGCCCCGTAGGCAGTAAATAGCCCCGTAGGCAGTAATAGCCCCGTAGGCAGTAAATAGCCCCGTAGGCAGTAATAGCCCCGTAGGCAGTAAATATCCCCGTAGGCAGTAATAGCCCCGTAGACAGATAATAGCCCCGTAGACAGATAATAGCCCCGTAGGCAGTAATAGCCCCGTAGGCAGGTAATAGCCCCGTAGGCAGTAATAGCCCCGTAGGCAGTAATAGCCCCGTAGGCAGTAAATAGCCCCGTAGGCAGTAATAGCCCCGTAGGCAGATAATAGCCCCGTAGGCAGTAATAGCCCCGTAGGCAGATAATAGCCCCGTAGGCAGTAATAGCCCCGTAGGCAGTAATAGCCCCGTAGGCAGATAATAGCCCCGTAGGCAGTAATAGCCCCGTAGGCAGTAATAGCCCCGTAGGCAGATAATAGCCCCGTAGGCAGTAATAGCCCCGTAGGCAGATAATAGCCCCGTAGGCAGTAATAGCCCCGTAGGCAGATAATAGCCCCGTAGGCAGTAATAGCCCCGTAGGCAGATAATAGCCCCGTAGGCAGTAATAGCCCCGTAGGCACAACATAGGCCAGTAGGCACTATGCCAGAGGGGTGACAGCATCTTGCTGTAATTCGTCCCCTGATGAACAACTGTCTTGCATAGCTTTCAAAACCTTCATTTAGTCACCTTATGACCAACCTTGTCACAATTGTTACACTTGACCACCTTGTTTAAGTTATTATTTTAAGCATTAAATGAACCCGAGGATTTCACTTCAACGCAGTCCGATGATGTTTTCATACAGGCCAGGTACTTTAACAAAGAATTAGTATCATGACAACTAGCCGACAACGCTCCAACTTCTAACAATTTGTCTCCAAGTGTACCCACAATTGCTTGAGCTATCACATCATCACTCATATTACATGACATGCCAATACCCAGCTTATCATAGTAAAATTTTATTGGGTCTTCATCTTTTGCCTTGATACGGTTAACAAGTTCCCTAATCTGTGACAACTTATTCTTAGTGAATGGAAATGCTGTAATTAATTTTATTTTCCACTCATCCCAGCTAATGTCATAGCAAGTTTGGTGTTCATATCAGCTTTTAGCATAGCCACCCAACTTAGAAGTGCAGTTGCAAATCAAAGTGCGTTCATCCCAGCCATGCATATTAGCAACACCTTCTAAGTTACGGAGCCAATGTTCTACTGAGACAGATGATTTTTGAGGATTAAACTCAGGTATAAAATCATTCCGTCCCACATAACGAACCACTGACTCTACTCTTGGTGTGGCGTCACCATTATTATAATTTTTCTGTTGTAATTCTTTAATCAACCCTTCTAATGCTTCGATTCTCTTATTCATCCTTTTAAGTTTTTTTTTTTGTCGTTTACTTTTAGATTGTCTATCAGAATTACTTGACCCTGACAAAGAAGCACTAGTAGACCTATTTCTCTTCTGGTGCCGACCCATGTTAACAATTAAAACAAAGTCACACACAATAAACTTATACTGCTGTCTCCACTAATAATTCTCTTTGAATAAAGTAAACTTCTTTAACAAAAGTAATTAAATTCAGTAAAAGTTCAATTATCCAAATAGTCCTTAAATTTAGTTTAAAATTAGCACTTTAACAATTTAGAATAGTTCACTTTGTTTATTTATGGGTTGCTGAGCATTTTAACAGATATTAAAGTATGCTCAAATTATCTGCATTTTGGAGGTTTTTTTTTTTTTTTTTTTTTTTTGTTTTTTTTTTTTTTTTTTTTTTTTTTTTTTTTTTTTTTTAAGTCTACTTATGTAAATACAAAAGTTCATGGAACAATCTCACCAAATAACCAGGAACATTTCAACACGCAACTGATGCATCTTCAAGCACTCTGAAATGCAATCGTCACCGTACCAGGATAGTTCACACAAATAAACCAGTTTCTCAACCAGAAAATGTTCACCCAAAACTTCAACAAACTTGTTGTACTGGAGGTCAGTGACCCTTAACGGATTGACAAAATTTGTGCAAAAATCAAGTATTAAGTACCGAACTGCATTAAACTTAGTTACTACAAGCGTTCTTATCACTAATTATGTGTGTCATCACCAAATTATATAATAAAAGCGTCTTTTCGCATCCAAAACCGCCAGTTTTTTTTTTCACCAAACTTTGCACTTTAAAAGTGAAATTATCGTCCAATTCATCAAAGTTCACTCGTGGGCAAGATCACTTATCGCACTTCTGATATTGTTAGGTCGGAAAAACGATTTTAAACTCTTAAATATTCATGTATTATCCAAAATTAGGCTTAACCGACAGAATGCGCGCCAACGTTCGTATTTGACAGTTCCTGAGCTAGTGTCGGGACGCGCGCGGTAATCGCACGTCGCACTAGTGTTGTGTCGTCCCCGCTAAATCGGAGGATTATTCATATCATTAGTAATTTATATGTTATTCAAATAACAATTTGCAATCTTTCAGCTTAATTGGAATTAAATAAACAAATTTAAATAAAACGCGTTTACGGTTTAAAACGCGATATATATTTGTTAAACTTAACAAGTATTGAATAAACAAAGTCAATGTTACATTAACGAAACTTCATTTTCAAGTGGCCTATTATTTTTGCATTTCAGCGTCTCACGAAAATAAGCCCGTAATAGCTGTCGTGTTAGGTTCTCGTTTAGCGTTCCAGCGGGGAATATTGGGATTTCGTATCAAGATCGTGATAGTTTCACTTTTTACGTATCGTGAACCGTTGAGGGTATTTTGGTGTAAGCGCCTCGCTCTTGGAGAAACTACTCAAGGAGTTATTGCTTTAGGTATGGCGAGTAAAGTGCGCTGTAAGTCTCTATTATCTACGCCGTTAGAGTCGCGTGAATGAAGGCGAACGAACGTGTTGCGAATACAAGCAAACTCAATTCTTAAAGTAGGAATGTGCTGTTGGGCCGCATTCGGTTAAAACTAATATCCTCGAACTGAACTTCGGTACGCTAAATGTTAAACATCTGTTTAGCAATTATATCTTTCGTAGCTGTAGGCCATTTGAAGGTTATTGAAAATTAACCTTCAAACCTTATATATACCAATAGTGGTTGCGGAAATGTTGGGTAATAAATAGAATATTCCATATAAGCCACTGATACAAACAAGTGATTGTTTCCTGTCTTCATTTTTCTTGTTTTATGAAAGACAGAGAAGTATGGGTTTTATATGATGGCAGGTATATACAATCATAGAAAATTGAGCCTGACCTATTTTGCCTCTTGATATCTACAGCCTGAATTGCGGATGCGGTTACGGCTTTTTCATCTGTAGACCGACGGTCTTTCATGACCCGGACCAATTTAATGTCTAGATTTTCTTGATGAAGTCTAAAATAAAAATAAAAATATATAAATTGATTTTAAAAATATTATGGACCCCTGTTTACAACAAGTTCCTGTGAACAAAGTTCTAGTCACTTTTTTCGTATATGAATATCCGAAATTCGGTTTCGGTTCCAGTCTAGTCCAACTCTAATAATTCTAACCGTTCTAATACTTATAAGTTTAGCCTGTAACGCGACCCCGCTTTTTGCGGTACCGTAATGTTGATTAATTCTCATTTGTAATGGATTATAATGATTTTGTAGTTTTGTAATTATATTTACAGTAATAGAAGGATATACCGATACATAGCACTGGCATAGCAACATTCAAACTTTGCTAAGCAACATACATAAATACATATTCATTTATTTATAAAACACCAAGAGGGCTACATTTATTACGTTACGTTATTTTAACCCGTTAAAAGTGTTTTATTTAAATGTTTTCTACTAATATTCATCTGCTTTGGATGTAATATTGGTGAAGATTTTTTTCATTTAAAATAAATTGAATTATATACGAGTTTATGTGAACCATCTTCTCATATTTATTGTAGGTACTTATATGTATGAAATATAATCTTAGGTCCTAATACTTAGCCTTATTTTGTAGTTACGCTTATAGCTTTTCAGTTCCGTTCTTCTCCGGGCCCAAGAATATTTATTTACCTCCGCCGACATCAAAGGTTAAAGGAATACTCGTAAAATTTTATGTTATTATGGATTATATATTGAACGGAACCCACAGAAAACCTAAAGTTACTAAACGTCTAGAGGTCATAACGTAAATATGAATACAAAATATTGAGTCTGTAGTTTATACTTACGTGAACTTTACTCTTTAAAGTAACTAGTTAGTTAGTTTTATAAAAAAAATTGATGTTTGTCTCTCTTTCAACTTAATACATTTTTATTATATGAAGAGTGGTTAAATACAATTAAAGTTTTAGTACACCGAAAAATATCTTAGTGGCATAAGGAGTATAATATAAAGGAATCACCGTCCACATTAAAAAAATTTAATCGCGTTTTGGTATGTTGTAGATTTCCGAATATCCAATCCCAAAATAGGTCGATATTGCTTTAGGCTTATGTCATACTCTATTATAAAAAAAGACCTGTTGAGCTGCATCTTCAAGTCATATGCTTACCTTGTGCATTTAAAAGGCAGTTACAATTGGCGGTCCGTACTCAGAGAGCCACCAGAATGAATGAATACCCGTTTTAAGCCGTAGGTTTCCCGTAGTGACAAGGTATATCCATTAATTGAGCGTGTCGAGTGATTTATTGTGATAGTGAGTGATGCAGCCGGTAGCCGCGACCACAATGAATCACGGATCTTTCTCGGAATGCGACACGAACCCCCCATTTTCATACGTCGCAGGGGCTCATCCCGGGATCAGCGTGAAGAATTTATTGAGACTGTTTACGCGGGCGGAGCGGAACACGACATCCGCTTTATAACGTTCATTCAAATGTTATTATGATTGTGACGGCTTGAAATTAGACTGTTTTAAACGCTATTCGATGAATAATATAATGTTTTGCCGCGATCCTATAAATGTACATTTCTAGCCTTTCTAGATTTATTTATGACGCTATCATGATAGAATACGACAGACAAGCATTAAGTTAAACAGGACAGTCAAGTATGATTGTCCTGTTCTATCCTGAAGGTACCCCAGCCCTATAACATCTAAACCTAGGTGGTTTCCTACCACCCATTTAATAATCAGATTTTCAGACAAAGTCCAAGATGTTCCAGAAATATTTCAAATTGATTAGAAAAATGTCGGACCCCGTGGGGTCGAACCCAGAACCCGTTGAAAATCTTCCATTCGATGCGACCATTACACCTCTTTCTAGTTAATGTCGAATTTGTTAAATGTTTGCAGCATCAGCATCTTTACTGTGAACTTTTTCAAACTTGCCAAAAGACCACAACAAATATGGCCGCTTACAAACAAAAGAGAACTAATGATAACCTTCTTTAGAGTGAAGTTGTTGCCACAAATGACACAGCGATAAATAAACATCGATTATATATGGACAAAACGACCTCAATATTTATAATCATCTGACATCGCAATCTGCGCACTATATTGACATTTTAACATTAAGCATTTTAATACACCGCTGGCGGTCAACAGCGTTACAGCGTTACTAGATCATAAAAAGCAAAATGACGTTCGCCCTGTTTATACAGTGAGACATATTTTAGTGTCCGTTGCATTGTATTTACAGGCAAAT